TCTTTGTCATCCGTAGTGAAGGCAAGTGCTCCCAATGTTCCATAAATATGTCAACCAGGGCAGGGGGCAGAGCCGATTCCATAGGGATTCCTTAATGTTGACGATATAATTAGCCACTGAATTGAAAATAATTTAAACCAATGAGACATCCTGAACAGCTTCAGAATCGAAGTTACATAGAAAGGTGTTTTGTTCTTATGGTCTATGTCTTTTGTCAGTTGTTCTTCGACCAGATCGATTACGATTTCGACAGGGATGCTGGTAAAGAGGTCTCTTACATCGTAGTTCACCATAATTTCATCGTTGTCGTTCGTTCTTGGGACAGTCTCTTCGACGAACTTCTTTGAATTTTTTCATATAATGTCAACTTACCCGTGTACGACTGAATAGTAGGGCGAAGCAGTCGTGCAACCAAAGCCGAAATGCAAGATGGTGATGCAACAGTAGGTCGCATAGGAATATTCGGTTTGTGGATCTTTGATAAGCAGAACAGTTCAGGAGGCGACCAGTTGCATTTGTTGTGGAGTTTCAATAAGATGCCCTTTACTTGAAAAGCGGCATTTAATTCTTCTTTTGCATTGTTGTTATCTTTTTTTCAGGGACTCTATCAACCGTTTTATTGGATCTTCATCTAGCAGGCTATAGCCGTTGTTAAGCAGCTCTGCGCAGCTAGTTAGATATTTCTCTTTATCCATGACCACGGTTTAGTTTCCTTTATCTGCTTTTATTATGACAGTGATGTCATCCTTTTCCAATTGTTTTAAAGCAGCTTGTTCAGACTTACTTAGATTGGATCCAGTTATTTGAAATTTTTGAACTTCGACAGCAGCTAATTTGGCGAAGTCCCGGATGGCCGTCTGGTAATTTAGCACATATGCTCGTTCAATCGATGTCGCAATTTCGAGAACTGGCATTTTATGTGGAGCATGAGCAAAATTCAGAGTTTAGGAGAGAACCAGCTTCTGATCTTCTGTCAAGTTGTTGCTACTCAGGTTCACCACTTGGTTGTTCGAAAACGATTTTCTACGTGAATTCCAAAACTCGGAGTACTTTTTCAGCATCAAGGTGTTGAATTTCTTTCGCAAAGTTTGAGATTTCTCCAATCTTCGTAGTTCGACCATGAGTTGGCAGTGACGAACGATCTCCTGGAATTCCGAACCTCGTAGAGAAACCGACAACTCTTTCTACAAGTTCTCCATCTTTTATGTTATGTCCAACAATCTGAACCTGTGATAAGAGATCCGTCTTCGTACAAACTTCGTCTCAAAGTCATCTCCTAGACGATGCTCCGATGGAGGCTGGAACATGGTTCTTTTTAGTCGTAGTCCCGTATATATATATCGGGAGGACGGACCATGGAGTTCTTCTATAAGATAATTGCAGAGACTGCAGCAATGGAAGCAGCCCAAGCGTCACGAAATTTCCTAACTCTGAAATGAACGATTCTATGATACGACTGTTTTGCAATATACAGTTTCCTTTGCTGATGTGACAGCCTGGAAGTGGCTCGAATGCCCGCTGCAGTAGGCTGATAAAGTGCCGTTGCCGATCAATAGCAAAATGTAGCTATCGGTGACCAAAATCTCATGAAGGACTACACTTCCCTGAATTCTTTAAGCTGAATGAAAGTAGGGAAGTTTGGCAACGGCTCGATATGCTTCACGCCCTGAATGGACTGCTGAAAAGCTACTCGCCAAAGAAAGGTGTTTCAGAAGGAGAGATTGAAGGATGGACAACGCGTTCTTGGTGTGCTCACATCGAGGACAAGTCGAATGAACGGACACATTTAACTTATCGTTCCGCGTCTTTGTGGGGTTGTTATTAGCATAAAATGTTTTGTGCCAGAGCAGCAACCTGAAAATTAGCTTATGATTATTTCATTTGTGGTCAGATCAGTTGATGCCTTGGTGCACGTCTTTGCAATAAATCAACATACCAGAAGCGTCCATGATCTTTCGAACAGTCTCGGTCTTCAACTTGAACTTCAGGCGCAGAATGTCCGCCAAGGAACCAGCAAAAATGAACATGGTGGCTTGTGCTAAGTACGGAATGGCGGTGAGCACTCCGTCCTAAAGTAGCTTTTTTCACAACAAATGTGCCTTCCGACGTGAAATTGAGAGCACTGAATGATAAGACGCATTGGCAAATGCGTTCTGAAAACAGTAAATCAAACGCTAAACAAGAACCATTCAAATTAATAGAGCTGAGTGTACGTCTTACGAACGTGTGAGATGGCTGATGAACAGTGTCTTCGTGAATGAAATCCGTAACAACAACGTAAATTTAAGTATGATAAAGCGATATGTAGACAGAAATGTGA